CAAAGCTGTAGTTCTTTCTGCCCAAGTGCTTCCTGGCATGCCCTGAAACGCAGAATGGCCTTCCACAGCTGCTCACGGCCTGCAGCCGTTTCGAGAAGCTACCCTCCAAGCACAAGAACTGGCTCTCTTACCTTGGGCTAGGAAGAGCTGGGAACTGGGACCGGCCATGTTGAGCCAAGGGGGCTTTCTGCTCTGGGACCCTGTGGAGGGAAGAATGCAGGCTACTCCTCTCTCCCCACCATGGAGAACAGGAGGCAAAGATGACAACCCCTGGACCAGAGAGGCAGCAATGAGGAGGGGCCTGGCCCAGCGTCCGGGCTGGAATTGTGCTGGACCACCAGGAGGGAGCAAGTGGACGGCGCTTTGCAAGCATGCTTCTCTCTCCATCTCTTGCAACACACCCATGTGGCAGCTAAGAATCCAGATCGCCTGCCCTGGGGACCAGGGGAGAGCCAAACAGGGAGGAGGCAAAGGCTGGAGGCTCTCCAGCTGCCGCCCCCCTCCACCACCACTATTGAAACTTCACCCCCTGTAGGCAGCACAGCAGTGGGGCTAGCCTCCCCAGAGTGGGAACTAGAGCCACCCCACGGCTGGAAAAGGTGGGAAGGGGAAGCAGTGGTCCCTGGAGCCCATAGCTGGGCAGCAATGAATGAACAGCAACAGCGTTACCTGCAACTCGTTACTTTAGGGGGTTAGTGAGTAAGGATGGCTTTCCAAGGGGATGGCAATGCATGCAATCACATTTTTATTGCACTGGTATAACAAGCAACTGTTATTAGATATTTTCAAGTGTTCTTTTTAAAATATGTTCTGCTCCATTTAAGTTTTTTTTTAAGTGACAACATGTAATGGAAAAGTAAGCATCTCAGCAAAAAGTGATGTGACAAATTGTTCCTTAGCATTGCAAAGAGTTATTTTTCGAGCATGGCAAAGAGGATGATTTTCTAAAAGTAACTTTCCAAATGCTGCAGCAGCTTAGTTCCATGTAGCAGGGTGGAGAGGGGAGAAGGGAGATGGAGCGAGGGATGGGTTCCTGCTGGGAGTTCATTCTGCAGGGTTAGGATTCTGCCCACCCCCACCCACCCCCCTGCTGGCGGCAGCCTGGGCTGACTTGCCCCTCCATCAAAGCCACATAGGAGGAGGCCGGGCTGGTGGCCAGTGATAGGGTTCTTTATCTGCTTCACTTCTCCTCTTTATCTTCTGCTCTGCAAAGCCCCACAAACAGCGCTGTGGAAACACTATTGCTATTCATAGCAGTGGCACAGGAGCGAATGAGCACCAGCAGAGAGGGAAGCGCCTGAAGTGCTCTGGGTGTGGGCGCGGGTGCAGGGGTGGTGGTGGCGGCGGACAGCACTTTGCCTGAGGATCACACCGTATCAAAGGCCAGTTGTCCGGACAAGAGCAGCTGACAACGGTGGAAAGGGCCTGACTGTCTCCGGAGGGCAAGGCTGCCTGCCGGGGATGACCAACGTACTGGCCATTTGGGTGCAAAGCCCCCTCGCAGCCTGGAAGGAGCGTCCTGAAATTCAGAGAGCTGGGTTGATGAGCACCCATTTTTGGAAGGCTTCTTGAAGGCTGGACAGGCGTCAGTCTCAATAGGGAGACCAGGGCTGCTGCCTTCCCTTCCGGTTCAGTGACAGAGCTGCCCGCTCGGTGTTTCAGCTGCCCTGAGCCTCCACAGCCTTACCGGTGAGGATCATGAGTGTCACCGCTCTCTCAGAAATCTGTGGGCGAGGGAAGCAGCCGGCCCGAGAAGAGTGCTCCTGTAGGCGCTCAGGGCCCAGGAAGGCTGCAGACCCGGTTCTAGGCTCTCTCTGGAGATCCCCAAGGATAGCTGGTAGCTGCCATGGAGAAGGGGAAATGACAGGCCCCGGAGTCCCCAGGCTGCCTGCTAATGACACCGCCTGTTGGCCCAGCAACCTTCTGTTTGGCTGAGCCTCTGAGGGAAAAGGGCAAAGCCATGCACAGGCAGCGTTGAGAGGAAGAACGCTCCTCCTGTTCTACCCCCTCTAACCTGTCAACATACATTCCCCCCCCCGTGGGCGCCCCCCCCACAAGACACCTCTTTGGCTCAGCTGTATGGGCTCTGCTGTTTGGAATGGATTCTCCTTCCAGCCAGCCAGCCCTTTGGACTTGCGTGTCTCTGTCTGCGTATCTCGTGTCCCATCGGCCGAAACAGGCTCTCGACTTTTTCCAAACTAACCTCCCAAGACTGTCCCTCTTCCTCACAGCCACAATGGTGGCCTGTCGGAACGCAAAGGGAAGAGTCGGGACAAACCAAAGGCCACGGCAGAGGCCACGGCCCTCTTTTCCACCCCACCTGCCACCCCTACCTGTGCCAGTTCTGCTCCACCCAAGCCCCATACGGTCCAAGAGGCTGCTGGCTGGCGACTCCAGCGTCACAACGGCAGCAGGAGACCCTCTCGCGCGCGGCTCTTCTCCTCCGAGCCCTGGTTGTTCTGGGTCCCCTCCTGCCGTGAGAGGCTTCAGCCACAGACGGGCTTCCTTCCACAAAGCCCAGTTCCCAGCCTTTCCACGGACGCGCTACCCCACTCCTCCAGCTCCCAGGGCCCCTTCCCCAAAGGGCTCTCCCTCCGCCCCCTCCTCCATGATGATCCCTTACCTTCCTTGCTGCTCCTCACCACAGGAAAGCTTGGGCGCCTCTCTGAGCAGCTTCTGTCTTCGCCACCGGCAGAGGGGGTGCCCCTGGGGAGCCCTGCTCCCCGCCCAGGCAGAGACGATGGCACCAGGCAGCAGGGAGAGCTGGGATGGGGGCAAGGAGAAGCTGTGCCACCCCTGGACGCTCTGGGCAACAAACACGCTCCCCATTTGGGCCCCTGGCGAGGAAGGCAGGTGGGCACAAACCCTGGCCTTTAGCCTCTCTGTCCCTGAAAGCACGTCCAGTGGCTTTCTCAAAGGGAGCAAAAGCCAACAGCCACTCACACCTCCGAAGGAGGCAGCCCCAGAGCTAGAACTGGGTTTGACTGCTGAGAAAAGGCGAGGCAGCAGCCCCTGAAAACAGCCCCCTTCCTGCCAGGCCTGCTGGCTTTGCACGCACCGAGGGGCTCCCTCGGTTTATCAAAAGCCTCGGCCAGAAGGCTCAGGCAGAGAAGCAGCAGAAGCAGCCAAGACAGGAGAGGAGAGGAGGCCAAAGGGGCGTTACCTGTTGGTTGGTCATTGTTAAAGCCGGCAACAGGTTCACCTATGGAAAGTACAGAAGGGGTTTTCTTCCTCTCCGAGTTTCAGCGGCTCCAAACCTGGCACCTTGGCATCTCTTGCAGAAGCACCCTTTCTGGGGGAAAGATAGAGCCAATGCCTTGCAGAAAGCTTTTAAGAGAGAGGCACCACTGCAGCAACCAAAAGGAAATGGGGGGGGGAGGTAAAGAGGGCTGCCTTCGTAGTGGCCTTCTCTTCCTCCCCTGCCAGCAAACCTGGCTGCCGTCAATGTTTCTTAGAAGGGAAAGACCAGGGCTGGGGAGAGGCCAAACCTCCCTTTAGGAAGGAAAAGGTGAGGCAGACGACGACAGGAGGAGGGGTGGGCAGGCGGGCCACCAGGCCAGGCGGCTCTGCCCTCTGCAGGGGAAGGTTTTTTCCTTGCATGCTCACACACCCATTCTGCCACCCACTAGTACTCAGGTTGCAGCGAGACCTCACTATTACCACCTCTCTGCCCAGATTAGATTCTTTCTGCTGTCTCCTCTCCACTCCACTCCACTCCCGAGGGCCTCCAGGAATCAAGGGAGCCATGCAGAAACACAAACAAAACAGAACACCACCCAGTGGGAGGGAGGCAGAGACAGCTTTGCCACGGTCTCCCTGGGCTGCCACAGACACCACTGCCGTTCTGCCCTGGATGAAAAGCTCCATGTTCAGGCTAGACCTCCACACTTCCAGCCGGGGCCAAAACAGTGCAAGGCCAAAAGGGTCCCCTGCGAGACCTTTCCCCAAGAGACTTCAAGCAAAAGCCTGCCTGCCTGCCCGCCCTCATGCAAGTTCTGCTCAGACACGACCATCCTGATCTCTGACCCTGCAAGCAGCCACAGATGATTCACAAGGAACTGCCGGTGCCTCTGCTGGAGCCAAGGATGCCATGCCAGGGCAGCAGACGGTTGCAGCCACACCTGATGGTTCCGCAACTGACGACAGGACAGAAGTGGCCAAGTGACTTGCGCAGAGCACCGCCACGAGTCTTTGGGAAGGGGACTTGAAGGCTGGGCTCTGGCCTGGCTCTCTGTGAGTTTTACCTAACGACAATCTAAGGATGTATGTCTGGGTTGCAGAGATCTCAGCCTGGCTGAGTTAAAGATACTCAGGAGAAGAGACCCCGGCCGCTCCATCAGCTGCAGCAACAAACCACACCAAAGGCCTGCTCCTTCTAAAACTAGGGTTTATTTTTATGTATAAGTTCAATACAAAGAAAAAGTCTTGCGGAATTGCCACTGGCCACTGTAGGCATCCTCAGGGTGCCTGCACGTGTGGCCTGGAGCCTGGGAATGAGGCCGGGGGGCTCGTGCCCCTCACAGCAGGCCTTGGCGCTTCAGGTCCTCGTAGGTCTTCTTGTTGACCACGTTCCCACTGGAGTCCTCGTATTCTTCCTGGGATGAAAAAGGGAGAAGCCTGTTGAGTCCCCGAGAGCAGAGCAAAGCAGGAAGACCCCAACAGGGAAGCAAGGGAAGGGGCAGGGCGGCCTCCAGCGCTCTTGGGGGGTGGGGGGGGCAGCCTGCAGAGCCAAGCGTTCACAGCAGATGGGCCTTCCTGAAGCCAGCTGAGGCTCCTCTTCTCCCAAATCCCCTGGCTGCCCAGCCATCTCCCAAAAGCCCCCACCTTGGCTGCCCTCTCTGGTGGCAGTCGTCCCAAAGGCCTTGTGAGAAGGGAGGTTCCTACGCCATCCTTCCGCTTTCCTTTTACTTTACTTTTATTGGACTTATATCCCACCACCCCCTGGACAAAGTCTACTCCGGGCAGCTTACATGAATCCTACAAACTTATTTCCGATCATATCAGTGATCATCCTTCCACACCTCTACTGACTGACGGTGATGGACGACAGCTACGACTCCTCCCTGAACAAACCATTCACGGGAACTCCCTGACTGAACTAATGCTTAGTTTTCTTCACTGAAATTCAGAGGCCAAGGCAGGGGAACAGGGCACCAGCGTGACACAAACCCCCACCACCCCAGTCTCTGCCTCAGCAGCTTCCTGCAGAAGGGCCCCAGACCCAACTTACTTCTGTGTCTGGCTGCCACCGCTCCGAAGCCTTCTGCTGCTTCAGCTTTGCCCACACTGTGACACACAGACAAACAAAGAGTCCATCAGCTCTCTTCCTCCACTGAAGAGGTGAGACGTCTGCCCGTAGGAAAGGTAGTGGTCTCACCAGACAAAAAGGGCCTCTGTGCCAGAGACCCAGCAGCAGATCTGCAGGCCCACGGCTAAGATGTTAGAAGCCAATGTGGAACTGACAGCGCAGGCACCAGACCCACAAACCAACCATAGGAGGAAATATGGGGTAAAGCCACTTACGGGAAACAGCATCCTCGATCTGTGTGACATTGGCAAAGTGAGCCGTGTTGGGGATGCCCAGGCACCGCATCCCATGCGCGTGGCGCCATTCCTGCAGAGTAGAAAGGACATGGGGGGGCGGGCTGCTGCCAGTAGCTTTCACAGTGGGTGGGGGCAACTAGCCAAGGGAGGGGGGCAAGGGGAAGACCGGCCCCTTCCACTTCATTACGCCCAGGCTGCCATCTCCAGGAATCCTCCTCCTGCCTCCCTTTACCTCCTCTGTCAAGGAGTCTGCAGGTCAGGAGCTCCCCCCAGGCTGGCAAGCAGGAGCCTCTCCTGCTGTCCCCCCCCCCAGCCAAAGAGCTAAACCACCTACTGCAAAGTGTCGCTGGAAAGCTTTGGGCCCCCGATAGGTGTAGTTTCCACAGATCTCACAGTTGTAGTTGATATTCAGCCCATGTAGCTTGTACAGCCAGTATGGGATTGGCTGGAAGGGAAAAGAGAAGATGTGTGAGCACGTGGAGGGGGGAGGGGGGAAGGAGGCCCAAGGACCACTTGCCTCTGCCCCCACCCACCTCCCAACTGCATACAAGGGTCACCTTGCCATCCCAGCCCAGAGGTAGGTTCTTGGGGTTGTAGATGATCTCATTCTCCTCGTCTTCACTCTCACTCTCACTGATCTGCTCCTCCTCTTCTTCCTCGCGCTCCTCGCCTGTCCGGGCCTGCTTGCGCTGCACATTTTCATGGGTGAGCTGGCGCTGCTCCTGCAAGAAGTCATGTGCTGGTGAAGGCACAGATCCATAGCGCAGGACCCCATGGCTCGGCAAAGGGGTGAGCACTTACCCCAAGAATCTCAACATACTCGTAGATCTGAGCCTCCAGAAAGGCCAGGTCCTTGTTCCTCTCGGTGTCTCTGGGGAGGAAACAGCTCTGTCAGAGGGAGCAACTTATTAGAGACCTAGGAAAATGGTCTTCCCCTCCCAGCCAAAAAGGGAGGGCAGTTATACCTCCCTGGGCTTCCAGGAAGGGCCTAGACTGACAGGCTAGCCAAGAAGCGACCTGGCCAGGCAAGGCTGAATGAAGGCACCCCTGCAGCAGGCCAGGCAGGGGACTCACCGCTTGCTCCCCTTTGTCTTTGGGTTCTTAGCAAAGAGGGAAGAGTCGAGGGCCTCCAGGGATTTGCCCTTGGTGCTAAACAGCCTCTGCGCTCGCTCCTCCAGCGTCCTGAGCAGGAGGGGAAGAGAAAGCCCTGGGTTGGGAAGGGAGCCGGAACTCCCCTCAAGTGCCAAGCCCCTCAGGAGTACGGCTTACATGTAGAGGGGTTCCAGCCCCCTCCCCAAACCACCAGCAGAGCACAGACCAAGCCCAGACTCACCCACCGCATTTCAGACCCAACGCAAGCAGTGCAGATTTCAGCCGATCGAGCCCCAGGGAGGCCAATTCCTGTGGCAGACAAAGCACAAAACACACAAACGCTCAGCATTCATGGGATCCTAGTCCCCTGCCAAGGAAAGGAGCAGCTTCAACCGAGCTGAAGCGTGGCCACACCAAAACAGGCTCCAAGGGGCTAACGTACCTCCCAGGAAGAGAAGGCCGAGAGATCCAAGTGGGCACCAGCATGGGTGAGGGCGCTGCTGGTCTCTTTCTGCCAAAAGACAACCAGAGGATTAGGGGCTGCAAGAGGCTACCGCATCTTCCACAATGGGAAGCACGAGCAGCCAGCACCAGTCCCTCTCTGATCAACCCTGCCGAGCCACAATTTCACCTCCTCCCATGCTTCCCCACCCCACCCCACCCGGAGACCCTGCTCACTGGCCATCCGGGGAAAGTGCCATTCTCCCATTTCTTCTCAAACTCAGCCTGGATTTTGCCAAACAGCTCATTCTGGTCCAGAAGCGGCTTCACCCGGTCTGTGTAATCCTGCAAGTATTCCAGAAGCATCTCCAGGTACCTGCAATGGGAAGACGACAACAGTGGGAGGAGGGGGCCTGCTAGGTCCATGCTCACCTGCAGTCATGGGGGTCCTCCCAGCTGAGACTCAACCCCACTCCCGAAAAAAAAGTAAATAGCATTTAAACCTGCCTCTACCCCTTCCTATTCCCACAGTAAGAACGTATGGGCAAAGGCTTTCTATTCACGGTGGCATTTCACAGGCACAGAGTAACGTCAGATAGATGGCCTTCTTAATCCACAGAGCAGGAAATAGACTAGAGTGAAGCCAAGGCCTGCTCAGCTGCCTGATTCCAAGGTCACACCGAGGTGCTGGGACTTTTCTGGCCCTCCTGATGGAGGCTGTAAGCACCTACCTCCTGTACTCTGCATTTTTCCTTTCCTTGGGAATGTCAAAAAGCTGGTCAAATGTGGACAAATAGGTGATGTAATCTAGTTTCTGTAGGAGACAAGAGAAGAGAGGCATTCAGTCACTAGGACTTGACTCAAGACTTTACAGCAGTTTCCTATGGAGTCGTCAGTAACTGTCTATGAGATGATGTCTCTGCATCTCCATTCCATCTCAGCTGCACCACCAGAGAAATGGGCAAGGCAATGCATCTCATGTGATTGCCAGAGGCTCTTCTGAGCATGATGCCCTTGTGAAACTAGGAATTTGCACCTAGTCATACTTATGTGCTGTGTGTCTCCGACTCCAAATCTTTTTCCCCTGGGCAGCCGCCTTCCGAACTGATACGTAGAGGGAAAAGATCAAAAAGAGGCCTCTACCAACCACCCGTATCTCCTTGTTCATATAACAGGTGGGATTCTCACCTCTGAGGATTTCAGGTTAATGTACTTGAGATAACAGTCATGTAAGTCCAGGTAGCGGCCATAGCCTTCCTCATCCGTGAACTCCACGAGGTCTGGAAAAAGAAGAAAGAGAAAAGCCTCGAGGTGCACTGTGTAGGAGAGGGGCCGGCCCCCCAGAAGCAAAAGAACACTGCCCTCTGCTCTCTCATTTGGCAAAATGCTTCCCAAGGAAAGACACAGTCTCAGTGTTGCCTTTGCGCTACCTATTATTCCTTCCCCTTTGAGCCTCAGAGCAGGAGCAGGAGAGCAATTGGTGAGGGTCTGAAACTTACTCTGAGCTTCTTCGCTGGGGTTTTCCCGGGCCTTCAGGAGCTCCTCAAACTCTACCGACATTGGCACACAGATCTACAGAAACAGAACATGACTGTTTACGGCCACAGTTTAGAACAGCAGGATACGTACAAAACATTCCACTGAGTGCATCTGGCAAAGATTACACTACAGTCTGTATTAGCCTAGATCATATATGACTTCAGAAACTTTTCTGAAATGCAGACATGGGAAAGTAAGGACAGTTACCTAATGTTTTCTAAAAGCAATGAAATTTTACTGTATTAAGTAAGGAATTGTGTGGGTTTTTTTCATTTCTCTATAACCCAATCAAAACTAGGCTTAAAACTTTAAATAAACCATTTTCTTATGACAAGATTAAATAAAAAGTGTAAAGTGCAAAGCATACTGGAGACTTATTTTGGGATGGGGGTATGGAAGAAGGTCACTGACACAGAATAGCTACCAGGCAGCAACAGGTCAAAGCCCTGGATAGCCAGGTGACCCAACAGTTTGCCATAGTCAGTGGTACTGAAAGTTGATGAAGGTCAGGAAAACTAAAAAGGTTGCTCCCCCTTTATCTGATCCCTAGCACGAATCATCTACAAAGATGATCCAAGCAGTCTCTGCCCCAAATCCTGCCTGAAAGCTCAAAGAAGTGGATTGTGATACTACTTTAATTAGTAATTTCCAGATCTCCATAAGTATTATTCTTCAGTATAGGGAAGGAGATCCAGCAGATGACAAAACACCAGATCAGGAAAACAGGAGGACAGCAGAGCTTCTGTGGGTCCTTAAAGGAAAACATTTGAAGACACACACAACACACGCCTTGTTCAATGGGGCTTTATCTCAGATTATACCTCGTTTGGGTGCTTCCGATGGAACTCCTTGATCTGCTTGAGCCTATTGTAGAACTCTGCAAACTCGTTGGGTCCTGAGATGGCGCTGAGCTCCTCCTTCCGCAACCTGAGCGCCAGAAGAAGCACCAAGCCAGCTCCAATGGACTGAGTAGAAACAAACAGGGCAACCCCCACCCTTGCCACATCCCATCCTTTGCAAAGATATCCCGGATTGTTTTGGGGGGGGGGGGTAGCATGGGGACCAGAGGAGACGCTTGCAGTGGCCTGGGCTCCTCGTGAACCCTCCCCACCCTGGGATGCTGAGAAGACCCTTCTTTCTTTCTTTCTTTCTTTCTTTCTTTCTTTCTTTCTTTCTTTCTTTCTTTCTTCCTTCCTTCCTTCCTTCCTT